TATTACAAAGTGCCACACTACAATTAAACCTGAATACTGAGGTTTGAGTTTAGAAAAAATAACTCATGCATTAACATCTACTGTCTTAAAAGGAAAACACAATAATAACATGCATGCCATAGGTTTGCCACCAGTGCCCTAGCAGCTTCCTAATAAAGAATGCATAGGAGATTTTTGGTTTTCCCCTTTATAAGTCTAACAAATTTTTTATTTTTTCTGTGCTTGATTACTAGTTTACTTGAGTACATGCTTCTCTGAATTATAAGGGTGTTTGTTTATAGGTATTCTGCCTGAGTTGTCTGTGTTCTCTCAGACCATTTTTTCCCGTTTATTTTGGTCTTTTTCTTTCTACCACCACAGATAATTCCTTAAACATCTGATTCCTTTTGGCTCTCTGTCTGTTATTAAGAATAAAGACCAGGCGCCAGGAATGTAGCTCAGAGGCATGATGCCTGCCTGGCAAGCACGAGGTCCTAAGTTTGACTCCTGATACAAAACAAAACAAAAAACAAAACAAAACAAAACAAAAAAACAAAGAAGACCAAATCTCTGAAAGCTTTGGCTTTATGCGTCAGGCTGATTTTCTGTTATGCTGTAGTATACAGCATGGTGGCAGGAAGTCACCTTTTCCTTGGTAGTTTCCTCTTGCTGCCTGAAATTCTGTATGAGGGTCAAGTTGGCACACAGGGCAAACAGCAGATGAGCTTGCTGGCCTCTGGGCCTGGTCTCTGGAGCACAGCACCACAGGCTGGGTTGGTCTTCATCACTGAGAGGGAGGGGCCGGTGCCCCACAGCTCTAATGCATCCCCTTTGTGTTATACCACTGGCCTTTGCCATGCCCATCTCCACTCCTTCCCTACATGCATAAGCCTTGAAGTTCACTTAGCTTGTTACTCTTTTTCCTTTTGCTTAATTATCTAGAATCTGTTGACATCTTTCATCTGTTATTGCTTCCTCCTCTGCTCTTTGTTCCTTTTGAGTAACATTTCTTTTGTTCCTTTACTGGAGAAATAAAAAGTTTAAAAGGAGTGAGGTTTTAGAAGGGAAGAGAAGTTGTACCTGTAAAGTGAGAAAAAGCTGCAAAATTTTTCTGTGAAAGAACGAATGGTAAACATTTTAGGCTTTGCAGGCCTGACAGTCTCCCTTGCAGCTGCTCAATTCTGCAGTGTATTTAACTTCATAACCATGTTGAAATGGAGGTTAGCATGAGCATTTTAGTGTTTTACCTTTTTTTTTCTTCTTAGGGAAAATATGGTTTTTATTGGTAGGGAGTATACTGAAGTAGGTTGATAGTTATATTTTTGTTCCCCTTCCTCATTTTATAGCTTAGCAGGGTTATTAACAGTGTTTCACTACTGCCTCTCTGAAGGCAACCAGTACTGGTTTCTTATTTTTCATTACAGAGATAACTGGTGGGCATTCAAGTAATCATCAAGGAGCACACATTTATTGCATATCATGAATTTGCTTCAAAAAAATAAAATCTACAGTATTTTATTTGTAACCAGAAAAAGTCACCAGGTTAGCTAGGTGTGGTGGCTATCTGTAATTCCAACATTCAAAAAGCTAGGAGGACTCTTTCAAGTTTGAGGCCAGCCTGGGCTACCTAGTGAGGCCTTGTTTCAAAACTGAAAAAAGCAAACAAAAAACTCATCAGGCATGGTAATGCATGCCTCTAGGAGGATCAAAAGTTCAAGTCCAGCCTGGGCTACATAACACAACTTTGTCTCAAAAAAAAAAGTCCCAGAAAAGCTTGAAATACAAATAGAAAGTGAAATTAAAATATTTTTTATTATCTATGACAGTTAAAAACAAGCATTTTCATGCATGAATATGTAATAAAACTTCTGAAGAAAAGTAAATTGATACAAGTAAATAATTTCAATGTCTAGATTTCTGGTCCTTACTGGTCGCAGAACATTTGCTGATATAGGGGCTGGGGATTTAGCTCAGCGGCATAAGCGCCTGCCTTGCAAGCAGGCAGTCGCGAGTTCGATCCCCGGTACCGATAAAAAAAGAAAAAGACAAAAAAAAAACCACATTTGCTGATATGAGAAAACAACTTTTCAGAAAATTGCTTATGTTTTGAATTTATTTGTTTATTTATCTTTGATTTTTTTGAGACAAGAGTTTCACTATGTAGTTCACTCTGGCCTTGAACTCACTATGTAGCCTACACAGTCTCAAACTTACAACAGTCCTCCTGCGTCAGCGTCCCAGGTGCTGGGATTACAGGTGTGTGTCACCATGCTTCCCTTATTTTGGAAAATTTATAAACTGAGGCAATAACATTTTATTTTACTTTATTTTTTTAAAGGTAGCAAGGATCCACATTACTAAGGGTAGAAAAGAAATATGCTCCCCAGAGTAACTGTAAGCTACTAAGAAAGTTCACAGTGGCCGTGAGAATAGTGGCAGAGATTGAGGCAGTAACATTGTAAACAAAGCTTCAACTGTTTCACTTACCAGGTTTCCATAATTTAGATAAAATACAAATTCGTGGGTTTTATTGAGCTTATGGAACTAGAATGCTTTTCATTAAAACTGGGAATAAGCCAAAGTAGTTTGCTTATTTAATACTGTGTTGGAAATCTAAGCCAGAGCAGTAAGGTAAGAAAAAGACTTAATTGGCATATAGATAGTGGAGTAGAATGGAAGAAATGATAGGGTATAAAAACACCATAATTTTAAAATTGGACTTTTAAGAAAACCACAACTCCCCATAAGCAACTGGCTGATGCAGAGGACACACTGAGATGATAGCAACTGAGGTACAAAAACAACTTAATCCTTGTGTTGTTTGATTGACTTTGCAGGCCTATGGCCAGTAGTCTGAGCGTCTATTTAGAGGATAACAATATGCAATATAGCAACTATAGGGATTTCCTTTTGCATCAAGTTACATCTTGTCTTGTTTTTGAAATCCAATATTGTTCTCACTGTTTTGCTCCATATTATTTTTTGTTTTATTCAGTGTTCTGTTTGAATTGGTTTTATTCTGTTTTGTTTGATTTTATTACGTCTGGTGATATGGCCAGCAGTTTTGAAGATACCAAGAGGCATTATGGCAGCCATTGTTGATTTCCTCTTACCTTGTTTTGAAGTCCTGTGTTGCTTTCACTGTTTTGTTTTGTTGAACTTTATTCTATTTTATTTTGTTTCGTTTTATTCCCTTTAAAATCAAATTTAATGAAGCTAAACCATGCCTTCCTTTGATCCAAGGGCAGCCACAAGTAACAGAAAGTGAGTCAGGAAGCCAAAGCACACATTCCTGTGAGCCAGACAGTGTGCGGCTGTGAGACAAAAAGAGCAACCCACATCCCACCCCCACCCCCAAGCTGGTAAGCAGCCAGCTGATTCAGAAAACTCAGGTTGACATGATAGCAATTGAAGTAAAAAAATAACTTAATGTTTGATTGACTTTTCAGGCCTAAAGCTGGTAGGTAGTCTGAGCATCTATTTGGAGGATAACAGTGTGCATTATGGCAACTGTGGGGGATTTCCTTCTGTCTTGTTTTGTAAATCCAACGTTTTGTTCCAGTTTACTGTTTTGTCTTATTCCTGTATCTGGTAACCTGAGCAACTATTTTGAAGATAACAGTATGCAATATAACAACCATTGTTAAATTCCTATCTTGTTTTGAAAACCTATATTGCTATTGTTGCTTTGTTGTTGTCATTTCTTTGGCTTCCTGATTTTTCTGTTTTTTCTTTTTTCTCTTTAAAATTAAAAAAATGCAAAAAACATTAAAAGGAAGAAAAAGAATGAAAGAAAACTGCAGTTTCAGCACACAATCAAATTTACCCCACATTATCCATGCTGTGCTCCATAGTTTTACTTCCCAGGCTTGTTTATGCTTCTTGGGCTTTCTTGTTTTTTCCTTCTAGACTCATAAGACCCAAATCCCTTAAACACATGCAGTCCATAAATTAACCTAGTTGGTAAGGTAAAGAGCAGTAACCTAATCGTAGAAGAAACAAAATCAAACAATTCAAAGATTGTTTTAAGGCGAAACATCTTGAGATCACCATGTTTGTCTTTTAAAGGATGCCTCCAAGAACATATATATATCCCCAGCCCCTGACCACAGCGCACCTCTCTGCTCTTTTAACTCTGCCTGATAAATCTTCCTATCAGACACATCCTGAAATTCTTTCTCTATGGAGACATTGACAAACCTACTCCCTGGTACAGACAAGGGAGGGTTGAGGCTCCTATTTCTTGGGGGACCAAATCAGACCTCAATCTGGTCACAATAGGAGTATAGAAAAATAAAATTGTCTCTGTGCACAGACAGCATGATGGTTTATGTGGGAAATTCCAGAGAATCTACTGAACAGTTTATAAATGTAGTGGCTTATTATATACTGTTCCTTTTTTGACTTGGCTATTTTTGAAGACATCTCCTAGGAGGGGCTTTGGGAAGTGACTGGATCATGAGGATGTGGCACTGGATTGGCCACGACAGGTTTAGTGTAGTTCTGGGTGTGGATAATGGATTTACTGAAGAAGGAAGTCCCACCCTGAGCGGCACCAACCAATAGGCTTATAATGTAGAGCTGGAATAAAACGGAAAAGAAGACAGGGTCTCTGTTTCCTGCTCACCTTGCCATGAACTCTTCCTCTTCTGCCTTGCCTCTGTGCCATGCTCGGAATTGCAATCAGCTGACTATGGACTGATACATCTATAAACTATGAGCTACACTAGGCCTTTTTTTCTGTATCTTGTGGCTGTTGGGTATTGTGTCCCAACAATGAGAAAGTAACTAAGACAAAACCTTACCTTCTTACAATTGACTGCATTTTTCCATCTGTCTTTTTTCACACTGTTGCATCAGCAAAGCAGTAGCAGCATTGTTAATCTTTTTTTTTTTTGGTACCGGGATCGAACTCACGACCATGCACTTTGCAAGGCAAGTGCTTATGCCACTGAGCTAAATCCCCGGCCTAGCATTGTTAATCTTACCCATGATGAACATTGCCTTTTTATTTCCTACAGTGTGAAGATTGCTCCTGGAGCAGTTGTATGTGTAGAAAGTGAAATCAGAGGTGATGTAACTATAGGTAAGAAAATAGTTTATTATTGTTTTCCAAGAATTGATGTTACAGTCTAGTGCTTTGCATTATAAGTTGGTGCTTAACCATTGTCTTCATGTCTGTTTCACCAATGCCCTGATTTTATTGACATGATAATGTATTTTCTCCTGTAAGTGTACAGTCTTTCTAAAAGAAAGGCCAAGTTTAAATTTCTGTCTGAAATACTAATAGAACAGTATAACAAGGCATTCACGTATTTGAGAGAGCTGTTATGTATGTGCAAGTACCTGTGACATCCCAGGCACTGTTGGCGCAAGGGATGCAACAGTGAGTATAACAAAGGACCGGGCTCTGTGGAGCTTACATTCCACTGAGTGTTCATTGTGAGTGTGGACTGCGGAATCTTCAGCCCTGAATTCCCTTGCTGCTTTCCTCCTTACCTGCTGGGTTACCTTGGGCATGTTACTCAACCCCTCTGACCTTCACTTTCTCCAACTATGTGATCTTATGTATCAGGATTGGCTTCAACTGCATGTGGTGGTGACCTGAAAATACAAAGGTTTATTCTGGCACATAAACAATTTAGAAGTAAGGATTTCAGGGATGACCCATTGATTGTCCAGCAGTGGACAGGAAATGATGCTAGAGTACCAAGAGTCATCTTGGATGAGAAAAGAGGGGTGGGTGAGAGCAAATGAACGAGTGTCCCATCTGACTCAGGTCCTGCTAAACACCCTTCCTGCAAGTTCTCACGACCCACCCCTGTGCGTTTCATGGCTAGGACTCGGTCTTAGGACATGGAGCTGCAGAAGAAGCTGTGCCTGTGCACATTGTTGCTCCTAATAAATTCAGGCGGGGTTGTATTACAAAGAAAAATAAAATGAATATTAGGTGGCACCAAACAGTTTCTGTCACATGTAAAATAGTGTCTGCTTCCTAGGTTTATTGCAAAAGAATGTGAAAATTGTAAGTAGTAAACTCTCTGGAAGTACTGGCTGTTCAAGCTGTTAAATATTAGCACATAGCCTTGCTAGAGGTCATATCCAAGAGATCAGATGAGCAGTTCTCATATTTGACTGCTCCATTCTTTTATCTGTGATTTCAGTGAATCATTACACTTCCAGAGAGAAAATGTACTTACTCTTTTACATTGTTGCTTTAGTATGAAAAAATGTGATGCATTGTAAGTGATACTATGCTAGTTTCTTTCTATTAGGCCCAAGCCTCCAATCCATTTAGGCTTATCCTATGAAGTCAGTGAAGACTGTGCAGTATTTGAAACTTCATTAAGAATTTGTAGGATTGGCCAGGCAAGGTTGGCCGTGTGCCTGTAGTTCCAACTGTTCCAGAGCCTGAGGCAGGAGAATCACAATTTCAAAGCCAGCCTGGACGCTTAGTGAGACCCTTTCTCAAAAAAAGAAATTTTAAGAATGGCCAGGAATGTAGTTTGGTGTGATACCCAGTAACACGAAAAAAAATTGATTTTTAAATTTTAAAACAAGTTTAGAAATTAAGTAGATGTCTCCTCATTTTCACAGCCATGGTTTTTTTCTTTCTTTTTTCTTTTTTTTTTTTTTTTTTTTTTGGTTTTGGGGTTTTTGGGGGGGTCATTAGTGTTACATAACCCACCTGAAAACTTTTTGAGAAATCATGAAGGCCACAGATTTATTAAAATACTCTCCTACATTATTTTTACACATCACTTTTCTACATATTTTTGTAGCTTTCATTATCCTTAGAGGAATAGCCTCACCATGGCAGCAGGGTACTCTATAATTAGAAGGATAGTCAGGGCTGGGGCTATAGCTCAGTAGCAGAGCACTTGCCTAGCTATGGTAGCACATAAGAAGTAGTGGCCTGTACTACCAAAAGAAAGAATGAAAAGAAAAAAGAAAGAAAGAAAGAAAGAAAACTAATTATATAATATCTACTTGACTTTCATTGCTCCTGACCCTTTGTTTTCCTTTGTATTTCTGGCAGTTGAACCCATGACTTGTCCATGCTAGTCAATACTCTACCACTTGGTTACATCCCTAGTCCTTTTTCTTTTATTTTGAGAGAGGATCCCGCTAAGTTACCTAAGCTGGCCTCAATCTAGTGATCCTCTCCCTCACCTTCCTAATTAGCTGGAATTATAGTCATGTGCCCCCCAGTTGACCTACTCCTTTCCTTTTCCTTATTATCTTCCTTCTTTCCCTAAATGTTGAAATTATATAAGTTTTTAATACAGTTTTTAAATCTACTTTCCATGTGGTATTTGACTATTAGCTTCAGTACACAATTCTTGTTAACATACATGGTATGATTGAAAAATATGATAAATGTTTACATTTTTAAAAATGTATCATAGTAAAAGACACGTTGACATTAACTGCCCTCAGGATACCCTCTCTGTCTTCATACACACTTAGCCCATCATTCTTGCCACTTTCTGGAACCATTCTAGGATATTTTATGAGTGTCTTTAGTTGCACTGTTGTAGCTGCATCAGTGTCCTGAGTCAATTCAAAATGTTGATGTTTTATGGTCATTTGATTTTGGGGGAGAGCCAGAGGCACTTGGGGCCAGGTCTGGTGAGTAAGGTGGATAAGAACACATGAAGTTTTTATAGGTCTGCTTTTCAGTTCGATGAACCTCTGCACCAGAATTCACTGAATTGTTGATCATAGTGCAAACGATACAAAAGAGCACTTCAGAGCTGCTCCAGATAGTGCAAAAATGATAGCATCAGTGTGTTCCAAGCAGGAGGGAATATTTTGAGGGAGATTAACGGCAATGCATCATTTACTGTAATAATTTTAAAACTTTAAACACATTTTTATTACTTCATATAAAAATGGTATTTCTACCCAGATTTTCAGTGATGGATTATAGCAATTTTTTGGTAGTACTTGAAATTGTAATCCGCAGTGAACTATATCTTCCATCCTTTTTTTTTTTTTTTAATTTTTCTTAAATGTTTAGAAAGGGTCGCTCTAAATCACTGAGTTAGGCCTGGGTTCAAACTTTGAATCCTCCTACCTCAGCTCCCAGAGTGCTGAGATTAAAGGCATGTGTGAGCATTTCCAGCTGATAAATTTTTAAAGAAAATCTGTATTGATTCAAAGTTCATCACAGAATGGGTTCGAGGTTTTTTGTTTTGGTTTGGTTTGGTTTGGTTTGGATTTTTGCTTATATTTACACACACATACCATTTGCTTTGTGATGTTGAGAATTGAACCTGGGGCCTTGTCACATTCTTCGCCATTGAGCTACATCTCTAGCCCCATGGTATATTTAGTTTTGACTTTTCTTTTGAGACTTTTCTTTTGCTACATGGTTCAAACTGGCCTTGCACTCACTATGTAACCCACACTGACTCAAATTTATTGACAGTCCTGTCCCAGCCTCATGAAAGCTGGGATTACAAGCATGTGCCACCACAGCCAGCTCCAAATTTTTTTTTTTGGTACCAGGGATCGAACTCATGACCACCTGCTTGCAAGGCAGGTGCTTATGCCGCTGAGCTAAATCCCCAGCCCTCCAGCTCCAAATTTTTAAAACAAGAAAATTTGCTCATATCCTTCACAAACAATTCACTTTTGAAAATCAAGGAAAAGGTGCAGAAGAGCAACCTAGTTACCCATTGTTATGTCTTCCACAGTTTTTATCTCATTTTTGTTGTACATGTTTCTTATCTTTTGTTCCATACTCAAGCTTCATGTTTCTTATTTTTAATTTTATATATAAATGTGGGAATTTTCCAGAATTACTATTTAGAGAATCATTTCTGTCATTACTATATTTGGTATAAATTATCTCTAATCTTTTGGCTGCTATTAATTTATTTTTCTGAAATAATACATCAGATTGATAACCTCCTGGGAGATATAAAGTTAAATCAAAGCAAGGGCTGAAGATAAGTTACCTGATTACAACTTTCCCCACCATCTTATTTTTCATTTGAGCTTTTATTGTTTTTTTTTTTTTTTTAGGTTACCAAAGTAATTCTTTTTCTGTAGTCCTGCAGAGTGTGAGATTTGAGCACTTGATAAACTCTCTTTCTCGGTTAAGGAGCTGTGAATTCGAATGGATTTTCTAGCACCTCTTTTTGTTGTTTGTAGTACTGGGGATTGAGTTTGGGGCCTCCCACATACAAAGCAAGTGCTCTACCACTGAGCTGCATCCCCAGCCTTATTTTTTAGGATGTTTTAAGTAACTTTCTATCTTCTAGTCATTTATGCTTTTACAAATTATTCCATTCTACAGCATTTCAGGAAGAAAGTAATTTCTTCCTGTGTTTCAGGAGAATAAAACTTTATTTTTTATTGTTTTATTTGGTACTGGGAATCAAACTCAGGGGCCTTACTCTTGCCAGGCAGATGGAACTTTAAACCTAATTTCCTTTTCTACAATGGTGTAGGTTTAGTTCTTCAGAGAGAAACTAGTCAGAAGTTTGGAAAGCACAGCGCTTACCCAGGAGCGCTCTAATGTGAAGCTGGGCCCCTGACCCCCTTTTGGCACATAAAGCTTCATAGTCTCAAGTTTGTTTAACTGGGCTACCTTGATTCTTGGGCCATGAATTCTCATTTTAGAAAAGTACCTCCTTGCGCAGTATGTAAACCCGTTAAGGGGTGAGGGGCAGGCAGGCTCCTGGTGTTAAACAGCACTTGGTTTGAACAGCGTAATGTGAAGGCTGAACTCTGCTCAGTGGAAAAGTTGCACTGGCAGTGCTTTGTCCCACTTTGTTCATTGTCCCCAGCAGAGTGTTAGTGCTGACCAACGCCCTCCTGTTATCGTATGGTCTTTTCCATAAGGCAGGACAGTGGCTTTGATGTGAAACATCCTTGCCACCTAAGATGTCTCGTGCAGGTACTCCAGCCTGCAGGTCCAGGGAATTGTTTAATTCTCAAGAGAAAGCTTGAGACTTTTTAAAATTATTTATTGACTTACAAGAATATACACAAAGATTGCTTTCTGTGGCAAAGGTAGACAGGAAAAATGTCCTTTACCAAATGAGGGAAATGGAAATGTGATGCAAGGAATGCCTTTCTGGCCGTGCCGCCTCAAGTCCAGCCAACCATTTAGAAAAATAATTCATCAGCCAGTTCGGGCCATTCCAACTCTAGACACATTTATCCAAACAAGGAGATAAGCCAAATAGGGTTTCAGCACATTCGGTAAAAAAATACACAAACTGCCCTGCCAGAAAGAGCGCCAAGAAGGTTCACAACAGGCTTAAAGAAAGAAACTTTCCATGGTGACAGATTTTTATTTTTTAAAGCATTTTAACCTTAAGACCCTTAGCCTTGATTTGAATTCAGACCTATGCTAGGTAAAAATGCTCCTGGTGTGCAGAGGAGCCCAGGGTGAACTGTACCCACATCACCAGGTGCAGTTACTGCTTGCCTGGCAGGGCTCAGCTGCCAGCCCGACCTCCAGCGTGAAGCCGTGCAAAGCGGAGCTACCTAAACCTCTGGTGGAAGTCAGAGTCCAAACCCGAATCTTCAGAGGCACATATCCGGACATACATCTGTCAGTCTGTGCCAGGAACGACCTACAGAGGCTCAGGAAACTTCAGTTTATTATTACCTGAGCCGTTTGCTGCCGCCTCACAACCCTAGCTTGGTAGTTTTTGTAGTCCGGCTCTACCCCAAAACACCAGCGCCTGTAGTTTGGCAAAGCTGCCGGCAGGTGGGAGTGGTGTCTAAATCCCAGGCCTCAAGCTGAGCCTGTTTTGCTTCAAGGGTGAGGCCCTTATAACCAGTTTTCCAGTTATTTATTAAATAACTGAATAATAATAAAAATAATAAAATATCAGGCTAAAATACTTCATGCTTTCCTATTTTTAATTTTATTTATTTACTTTTGCAGTGCTGTGGATCATGCATGCAAGTGCTCTGCCAATAAGCTATATCCCTGGATTAAGGCATTATTCTAAAATAATAATAAGACATTTTTTTTTCTTGTGGTAATTAAACTCACGGCCTCACACTGAGCTACCTTCCCAGCCCCCTTTATTTTAATCTTTATTTTTTATTTTGTGACAGGATTCTGTTAAGTGACTAAGTTGCCTAGGCTCTGCGCTAACTTTCATCCTCTTGCATCAGCCTCCCTGAATGCTGGGATTCTTAGGCATGTACCACCATGCTCAGATTTTATGAGACATCTTATGGGACTTTGTATTTAATTTTTAAAATTTATGCAGATTTATTTGGGTTTTTAATATAGTGACCATTATATAATTTTTTGATAGGAAAAAATGAAAATATTAATTGCTTTCAGTAGAGGAATTTTTAAGGAAACACATAGGTCCTACTGGGACCTTCATTTTACCCATTTTAAGGTACCTTCTGTTAGATCTTTGTTCAAAGCTACAGCTTAAGGACCAACAGAATATTGAGCACCTTTGGCTTCTTCTTTAGCAGTGCAGAGGATCTGCCTTCTGTCCCCAGCATGCTGATCTCCTCCTCTTATCTAAGATTTTTAAAGCCGAGTATGGAAAACACTTGTTCATCTTTTTTACCCTTCTATATCACCATATGGAATCCTCGCCTTGATTAAAAGGAAGCATTGCTGTATTACCCTGATACCCAAGTAGAAAGGAAAGCAGACCCATTTCTTCTCTTTCACAGACCTGAACTTATTTTGAAAAAGTTGTTTGTTAGTGCTTAGGGGCAAACAGTGATGAATGTCATATTGTTAAGAACTGTGGGTCAGAGCTTATGTCTCCCTTTCAAACATATAATGCACATTTCAACCAGGAGATAGGTTGCTAAAGAGCTCATCATTTTATAGATAGAAAACAGACCTTCAAGAGAGGAAGTAGATACTTTTCAAGTGTTAGAGGCCAGAATTGAAACTTTCTAACAAGGGTGGGTTGCTGGCTGAGGCTTTAATTATAAAGAACTTAAAACAGATTGTGTGACCTGTACTGTGGAACATCTTGAAGTAAGATATAAATCTAGTATTGTGCAAACCACAACTGGCTCTTACAGCTGGAAGACTTAGAAACTTCTCACTTCAAAGGAATCCAGTTTTCATGTCAGCATTGTTTAGCAATTCTCCTGCCAAATGTGGTTAACATCTAAATGCCCACTATTAAGAAATTGGTTAAATGAATTGTGACATATTAATATGATTTGAGATCATTTACAGCTATTAAAAAGAATATCTACGTAGACATGACACAGAGAAATTACAATTCTAAAAAGGCAACTGTAGAATACATATTATTTCTTGATTTTAAAGAAATATTTGCTTATAACACATGTTTTTTCTCCAGGTTAATTTCTTTTTAAACTTTTTAAATGAGATATAGTTTATATATAGTGATTTACAGATCTTAACTATATTTAGTCCGAAATAGTATCATCCAAGCTTTTCAGAATAGTTACTTCTAGATTTTATTTTGTTTTTTGTTTTTGAGAAGATTTCACTGTGTAGTCCAGGGTGGCCTCAAACTCACAGTGATCCTCTTGCCTCAGCCTCCTGAGTGCTGAAATTATAGGCATACACAGCTGTGCCCGATTTACCCCTGGGGGAATGGGATTGTCATGGCAGACTCTTAGTTTTTGTTTTCCTTTGTTTGAACTTTTAGTAATGATCATGTTTATTTTATAGGTAAATATATGTATACATTTGTATCTGTGTAGTTGTGTGTGTATACAGTATATGCACATGTATGGGAAAGAGTATTCATTTTATTTTTAAAGAAAACAAGGCACTCACATTCACACTTGTGGTTAGCTTGAGAAGCTCCCTGGGCATGGAAGAGATCCTATTTTCTATCCTAAACAGAAAAACGTGCCTGTGAAATTTTACTTCAGCAGCTGAAGGTTTGGGGAGCCAGAGGTAACGGAAGTATCCAGCTGCTCTCAGGCTGCTTTGAACCTGGCAGCTCTGGTCTGTGCATCCTGTTTGGGCTCCACTGTATCACATCCCTCTTGTTGTCAGGAAAAGAGTAAGTCACACTAGGGTTCCAATTCTGTAGACAACAGAAACATTTCCATGCTTATTTTATTACACTTGTGAGTAAATACTTTTTTAAGAAAAAAAAAGCAGCTGGTGGATTTTGTTGTGTTGGTTCCCGGTTACATGGAGTACAGCTACATTTCACCTGTCAAAAACTCACAATGATTTTTGAGTAAATTAACAATTCATACAACTGCATATTCAATGTTTTGGGTGATGTCATCTTCCGGATCCCTTTCCCACCCTCCTAACCCTTCTGTCTACCTCTCTTACTTTCACAGTCAGTTACTTCCTGTCCACTTGTTTACCAGTAGAAAATAGCTGGATGCTGGGGAGTGAACAGGCCAGATGTTGGAGACAGGCTAAAAGGAGGATGTGTTTTCTCATCAGTAGTATCATTATCAACAAAGCTGGGGGCCTGCTGGAGATAAGAGCGGGGGCGGGAACGCGCCAGCATTCCAGAGGCCCGGCCCTGGGGAGGCAGCACCGGGCCTCCACCGCCCTGCGTGGCCTGGGGGTCATCGGGCCTCCCTGCTTAGGCTGCAGCTTCGAGGTGGGCTTCAGTTCTTCCTACACCAGAGTCTGAGGCCCACAGTGCCTACTTTTGTCTCCTTTTACTGTTTCCTTTTCACCTTTCCACTTTGATTGATCAAAAATCTTATCCTAGACCAGATGACAGAAACTCTGCCTCCTCCTAAGAAGAGTGCTTATATTAGGGACAGTGTTGGAGGCACAAAACAAAGGTTATGTCCCATGTTTTCTGACTTTTGTTCACCCATACTTTCTGTTCATCATGTAGTAGTAAAAAGCTGAATCAGCTGAGCATGGCAGTCCATATCTATAATCCCAGTAACACTCCTGAGAGATTGAGGCAGGAGGACAATAAATTCAAACCCAGTCTGGGAGACTTAGTGACTTAGTGAGACCCTGTATCAAAATAAAAGATAGGAAAAGGGCTGGGAATATCTTAGCATGGCAGCCTTGGGTTCAGCCCCTAGTACCATTGGGGGGAAAAAAAAAAAAGATAGGAAACACCTCATTGTAGCAGAGAGCTTTACCTTTCCAAGAGAAGGGAAAGGAATACATTTTACAGCCAACTATGTGCCACTTTTTCTGCTTTCAACATCATCTCACATTAGCCCTCCCAACAGCCCTGTAGGATTGGTGTTCTCATCATCTGAGACTCACTACTGACATCAGTGAAGCTTTGAGATACAGGCTGAGCCAGAAATGTCTGGCTCAAATCCTGGGCCATTTCATTTACCTGAGCTCAACAACTGATGATAATATCCGAGGAGAGAATATCTGTAAAGTCCCTCCCGTATTAGTGCTGGGCACATACTTAGAAAACCTTTCTCCCAACAGCCTCACCCCCTCAGCCACCCCTGTCTCCCCTGCTGGAAGCATAGCCTCTACTGATAATTTGTTCTCAAACTTCTTAACAGGACCGAGGACAGTGATCCACCCTAAAGCACGAATTATTGCAGAAGCTGGGCCGATAGTGATTGGTGAAGGTAACTTAATAGAAGAACAGGCCCTGATCATAAATGCGTGAGTAAGACTTATTTAGATACTTTGAACCGTTCTCATCAGTTTCAGCTGTCTGTAAAAAAAACCTCTGCAACTGACATTTGGAAGGCCCATTATTTTAGAGCTAAGAAATCATTAAGGATGCTTTTCCAAGGTGAGACTAGACTCCACCTGGGGTCTCATAATCTTCACATGTGTCATCTTCTTAATTGTCCCTTAAGCAGACATTTCCTGAACACCTGCAGCTACCAAGTGCTAAGCTGACCACCTGAAGAGCGTTTTAGTTGAATTTCTTGGTTCTGGTTGAAATGTTGTTACTCATGTTCCGATATTTGATCTTAACTCCATTTTGTATAGGTACCATCCAGAATTATAGTGGAAAAAATCTACGGTTCTAGAGGCAATTTTTTTTTTTTTTTTTGTCTTTTTCCTTTTTATCGGTACTGGGGATCGAACTCACAACTGCCTGCTTACAAGGCAGGCGCTTATGCCACTGAGCTAAACCTCCAGCCCCTCTAGAGGCAATTTTTAAGCTTTAGTGATAAAAAGAACCCAGGCATGGTGGCACATGTCTGCAATCTAGCACTCTGGGAGACTGAGGCAAGAGGATCACAAGTTGAAGCCCAGCCCAGGCAACTTTGCAAGTTAATAAGACCCTGTCTCAAAATTAAAAATAAGGCTGGGGATATAGCTCAGCAGCCAGTGCCTGCCTGGAAAGTGTGAGGCCTTGAGTTTGATTCTCAGCACCAAAAATTAAAATAAAAATAGGGCAGTGCATGTAGTTCAGTGCATGTAGTTCAGGGATGTAGTTCAGTACCGAATTCAACCTACAATAGTAATAACTTATTAGAATGTATATGAGATTTTAGTGAACTAGACCATGATACCCATGAAATTTTTATATGCATTAGTAGGTCTTTCTAGATACAATGTTGGCAAGAAGTTCAAACCTACACCTAATTTATAGCAGCAATGGAATTTGTATAAAGACCTTGGGAAAATATTTAACTGTGATAAAAAGACTAATTTGTCTGAAGGCTTACTTAGAATTTGGGAGTTTCTTACTATATTAAGCAGTTTCTCTTTAAAATACATTTGGCACCTTCAGCGCAAGTCGATCAACCACTGCGATATTCTGCAGTAACTCAACTGTCAGAGATAAAACAGCATTTAAAACAGCTTCCTCCTTTGAGAATACAAACATTTTGTCTTCCACATATTTCAACTAATTATCAAATACCATAAAATAATTATTTGATGTGAATATCTGTTTACATTTCACAATCTCAAAGGATTATTTAGGATGGAAAATGTTCAAGTGAGGCATGGTTTTGACTGCAGTTCAGCAGGTTGAAAATAAAAGTGTAGGCAGCGTCGTTTTTGCCTTGTCCTGGAGAAGGCTGTGTGACGGCTGTCCTTCAGCACACTTCTGACCTCCCTTAAGTTTCAGTTCTTCTGCTCAGTTTCTCCAGCGCAGAGGAGAAATGATTCCCTTACGTCAAGCACTCACTGACATAGTGATGTATTTTAAGTGGGTAAAATTGGACGAATTAATAAATTCTAAAGTGAGAGAAAGAAAAATGGCTTTTTTTGTGTTGCTGGCTTTTGATGATTTCTGTCTTCTTTCTGTAGTCATCCAGACAATATCACCCCTGACACTGAAGATCTGGAACCCAAACCCATGATCATTGGCACCAATAATGTGTTCGAAGTGGGCTGTTGTATCCTTTATAATAATGTGCCACAGTTCATTCCCAGATGGCCTTTGGTATGCACATCGCCTCTGTAGAAACTGTCGTAATTTATTACATATATTTGTAATATATATAATTTTTAAGACTAGGCCATCCTAGTCTTTTAACAGACTTATTTGCAATACATAAAAAAAATCCTTTCCTTAATGTGTAGCACAGTAGTAGAGTATGCACCTAGCCGATGTGATGCGGGGATTTGATCCCCAGTGCCACAACAAGGAAACCAAATTCTGTCCTGTTCTGGTGGCTAATTCAGTAGAGTTATGTAGCTACTGTATGGCATTTTGCAACACACACACATGTGTATTCTGTTAGCTCTGCAATTTGAAAGTCATTTTGTTACTGGACCAGGGATCTTGTCTAGATTCTTAAAAACAAGGTGAAAGATTTATTGAAAGTGAAAGTCCCACTCCATTGAATGGGACCTGGCCAGTGAGAGGAGCTCTTGGCTCCAAGAAGGCTTGGCCTTGAGCCAAGTGTTAAGGTGTTTTAAGCATCAGGGTTTGGGTGGGGATTGAAGGGTTGATCTGAGCTTTTACTCTTGCCTATGAGCAACTTGACTTGGCCCCTCTGTCAGGCAGTGGGGTTTTTGATCTTATGGCCCAAGGGGGAGGAGGAACCATGATTGCACCCAGAGCCCCTAGGGGCTGGGGTTTGGGAGGCTGGAGGGTGGATGAGAGAGGTGTTGCTAACGACCACTGGGTACCTGCTGGAGACTTACTATGTGTGCACTGGGTTACTTGGTTCTTTTACTCTTGTGTTTAGAGTGGGGTATCTTGGTCTTAAAATTTAACTCAGAAGGTGGATGGGTCTGGCCCATTAAAGGCTCCAAGATGGGCCTTCCCTTCTCTCTCTAGCTCTTCCTCCTACTGGGATTTTGTTGGAACTGCTTGTTGGCACGTAGCAATGGCTGAATGGCAGTAGACTCAGAAATAGTAAATCTGGCTTCTGTACTAATTAAGAACCATGTCTTTGTCAGTTTGGTTGCTGTATCATTTAGGTAAACATTGTGGTATGCTCTAATGTAAGAAAATGTGGGCAGGGATGAAAGTATTTCATTATTTAGGTGTTCTTTTCTTTGAGGTTGTCACCAGTGTGTTTTCTTAATTTTGTACTCTAAAATGATAGTAATGCCTTTTTGTGATGTTGGTAAATATTAGGTAGGTGTAGTGTGGCACATGGGTTATAATCCTAAGTCTCTGGGAGGCAGAGGCAAGAGAATTGCAAATTTGGATCCTGCCTGGGCAATTTAGTGACTTAGGTTTAATCCCCTGTACTGCAAAAAGAAAGAAAAAAAACAACTAACCTATAATACTGTTAACAATATTTAAGTGATTAGGTTTTGATTTTCTTAAAACAGTCATAGGCCAGGCTTGGTGGGACACATGCCAGCACTCAGAAGGCTGAGGCAGGAGAATTGCACAGAGTTCGAGTCCAGTTTGGGCTCCATTGTGAGTTCAAAGGCAGCCTGAACTATGTAGGGAGATTTTGTCTTAATAAATAAAAGCTGTGAAAATATACGTAAGATTGGGCATATGGTACTCATTTCTTTAAAAAGAAAAAAAAAAAGTGGGAGTCCTTTACTTGTACCTAACGATCTCTGTGGTTAAGGATTGGAACTTAACTACAGATTGCCCTGAGCAAAGAATTCTGGCACAGCTAGGCCTTCATAGCCCTTTCCACCCACACCTCTGGCCCCTGTGAGAACATATTGTATTTACAAGGGGAAAGGGTGAATATGTGTACAGTATTTACTTAATTGGGGCTTACAGATTCCCAAGCCATGAAAATGGGAGATAATAATGTCATTGAGTCGAAAGGTAAGTTGTATTTAATTGTCAAAGTAATTCCTCCCTTCCTCTTGGCCGTACCGTGGGAAATAGCCTAAGTTCAGACTGTGACAAGGTAATGTGCTGGAAGTGGACTAAAATTGTTGTCAGACTAATTCTTTGCCTCAAAAGAACCTAATCTGGTTATGTGGTTATCTGATAATGTGGTTAAATACATTAAATTACAAAGTCAACTGTGTACATTTAAGTTTGGATTGGATTAAACATGAAGTTCCTTGGAAAGATTTTAAAAAGATTTCTACAAAATACTAGCCTTGATGATATTTTAGTTGATTAGAGTTGCTATAGAATTAAAGGGGGAAATCAATTCCTCAAACAGTTTGCTTTCTTTAATTTCAGGGCCTCTTTAGCCCAGCCAATCAGAAACAAACGTCATCTTTTTACCAAAAGTGGGGCCAGGCAGGGGATTATGTCAAGTCCCCAGCGCTGGTGAGAACCAGCTCTAGGAGCAGGTCCCACCAAGGCACAGAAATAATCTGAACCATGACACTTTTTTTAGAACAGTGGTTTATCTTTCTTGGTTCTAATTGGCATGAAAGAAAATTCTTTGAAATAAAAATTGTGCTTATTGTTAGGCTGTTTAATAATTTTAATTTGACTTTGGGCTGCCAGTTACTATCACTCACACCATTGTCATTTTTGTTTATTGTATGCTTACTCTGTGTGAAACCTGCCCTGAGTACTTTATATTTATTATCTCATTGGTCCTTCAAACTGAAGCAAAGCAGTCTGCAAAGTACGATGGTCTGTCCAGAAAGATATAGTTATATATAAAGTTGAGCTCAAAGACTTTATAGTGACTTAGCCAAGGCTACACTGCTCCCAAAGTTAGCAAAGCTGTTCTGAATCCAACAGACACTTAAATGCACTGCCTGCCTCTGTGCTGTCTATACAAGCTCTGAAGTATTTAGTTTCTTTATTAAGGTCAGCTTTTTTTTTTTTTTTTTTTTTGTCTTTTTCCTTTTTATCAGTACCAGGGATCGAACTCATGACTGCCTGCTTGCAAGGCAGGCGCTTATGCCGCTGAGCTAAATCCCCAGGCCCACTAAGGTCAGCTTTACACAGCAGCATTATCATGGCCAATGAGGTTTATCCAGGGCATGAGTATTTCTTAAAGCCAGTTTGTGTTTTTATACCTTTGGCACTGGGAAGAAAATACTGTAATCAAACAAGGTCTTAAATTGCAATTCTCTTTGTTGCTGCAGCATACGTAGGCAGAAATGTAATACTGACAAGTGGCTGCATCATTGGGGCTTGTTGCAACCTAAACACTTTTGAAGTCATCCCTGAAAACACAGTTATCTATGGTGCAGACTGTCTTCGCCGGGTACAGACTGAGCGGCCACAGGTACTGCTAGAACCTCTCTTTATAAAGCTTTCCATTGTGGCACATGCCTATAATCCCAGCACTCAGGAGGCTGAGGTAGGATGATCCCTGGGAGTTCTAGGCCAGTTTGGGCTACAAAGTGTGTTCAAGGCCATCCTGAACTGCATAATGAAACCCTGTCTCCAAAACAAAATTTAAAAGAGCCTTCCATCTAAGGCAGTTAACTCCCAAAATACCATGTAATTGTCTTAATGGGCAGCAACTGCGCCATTTAAAAAGGAAATGATTACGATTAAAAAAGAAAAAAAAAAGCTAAAAGACCCGGGCTGGGGATTTAGCTCAGTGGCATAAGCGCCTGCCTTGCAAGTGCATGGTTATGAGTTCGATCCTCGTTTTATCCTACTGATTAAAAAAAAAAAAAAGAAAAAAAATCTAAACAAGAAATGATTGGGGCTGGCAGTGTAGCTCAGTGTCAGAGCATGTGGATAGCATTCACAAGGCACGGGTTTGAGCCTTTGTGCCACCCTTCAAAAGAAAATGAATAAAGCATCAGAGAAACCTTCCTGAAGCCTGAATTGACTTGCAGCTCTATGATTGAGTCTTAAGGTTAATAACAAATATATGGATGACAATGTGAAGTCGACTAGTAGGAAAAAAAAACCCAAATTGTTTTGGGCTGTATGCATTTTTACTGAAGGTGCATCATCAAACATTTTAAACCATGTTGTCAATCATCAGAGCCAAGCAATGACCTCTGCCACATTTATATAGGGCCTCAAACTCGGGCCTGTTTATTAGTGTATTAACATAACATTACAGTTATAATTGATTGTAACCCTGCTTAGGAATAAGCAAGTGTGTTTAGATATTTTCATGGCTCACAAGAAATTATCTCCTCCTAATATCCCAGATCAAGAATAGTGAACATATTTAATGTTGGAGTAGGAGATAGTAAAGGAGGACATTTGGTCTTAAGTCATTTAAACAATTTTTTTTTTTTTGCAGTACTGGGGATTGAACTCACAACCTCGTGCTTGCTGGGCAGGCGCTTATGCCACTGAGCTAAATTCCCAGCCCTTAAGTCATTTATTTTAGGTCAAAAATGCAAGACATTTAGTTTGAAGGTCTGAGCCTCTTTGCATATTCCATATATATTTATTTAGTTATGCAACCTTATTTTCCTCACCCTAAAGAAAATATTTTCAGAAAATTTACCATTTTACTTTAGATTGTTATCCATATTTTATCAGAAATTAAAATTCCAGTTCTGAGTTACTTTACTTTATAATATCTGGTCTTACTATTTATTATTATTTGTGGTAGTAGTTTTATAGACTAAAATGAGAAAATGTAGTATTTGCTTATTATCCTTCTTTGTAACAGCAGAAATGATGAAAGAGGGAGAAATGAATCTGGTGTTGGGAATGGAGATTAGAATTAAGTACGCGTGAATATCTGATGTTTAATTTTTAATAGTGTGCAACACTGTTTCCCAAATCTTCCCCTCCCCAACTTGGGTAGTGAAGCCCCAGGCCCATGGGTGCCAGGCAAATGCTGTCCCGCTGGGTTGTACCCAGCTCAGAGCTGCAATGTTCTGCCAGCCAGTCATTAATTATCTTATCGTTTTAGCCCCAGACACTCCAGCTGGATTTCTTGATGAAAATCTTGCCAAATTACCACCACCTAAAGAAGACTACGAAAGGAAGCTCAACTCCAGTTAAGAACTGAGAGCTGCATGTGATATTGAGATAAATCATGTCTTGTCTAAAGCCCACAATGTTTGTGCATTCTTAGCAGCTCATAGCATAATACGTGTTGACTTTCTTGTGTAAAATTAAGTTAGAATGGTAATGGATTTCATTGTAACTATTCTTTATAATTTATACAAAATGCATTTTTCCTATGTCCTTGCTCCTTTTCTGATAACTTACAGATTTCAATTTTTCTTTTGTTATATAAGATGTCAGCCAAAAATTTGTTATGTAAAATCTACCTGTGAGAGGAAAGGATATATTGTTATGTATTTATATTCTAGCATATACTAAATAAAATTGCTGGTGGCAGGACTTCTAGTAGGTATGCTTTCCTCACTTTGGCTGTTTGTGTTAATCTTTCCAATACCATCTATCTTAATTTTTATTATTAATTTTTGATACATTATCAAAAAATTATCTTTCCCTCTTGTGGATTTGTAACTATTTAAAATTTCAGGTGAAATTTTATTTATTGGTAGGGATGTGTTGTGACCCTCAGGCTCGAGGTCATTCTGCCCCAGAACTTCAAACTGGGTCTGTGTGTTATTCCTAAGGAACTGTGGTGGTAATCTGTGGTGGTGGTGTTTTTGTCTTTTACTGGTAAAGAAATGTCATTTCATTTTAGAGAGTTTAGGAGGGGTGGGGAGATACACCTCTGCTTCCTTGGCCCACACTCAAACACAAGCCCTTTTATCACTCTGGGGCTCAGCGGTGGAGTGTACTCCTACCTTCCACAAAGGTAATGAAGAGCTCTTTTGGATACTTTCATCTTCAGCCTCGAAATCACTACTGCAGGCCTGCCGCTTCATCACAAGAGGGCCCTAGTAGCTAGGACAGTCTGTCCCCTACTAAAGAGCAAATGGGAGCAAATGAGGACTTGTTAAAAGTAGATTTTATTGGTACATTTTAGATACTCATAACAATCACATTCGTCACAGGGAATTTGTACCTGTACATGATATTATCTAGCTTTTTTCCCATTCCCCTACCCTCCCTTCAAACTCTTCTTTCCTCCTCATTTATAAAAGCTTTGTTTCCATATTTTTGGAGACTTTTATTAACCTTAGTTTCTGGGCCATTTTTAAGAACACCATACACTTCAGTATTTCACTGAACAGCTACTTTTCTGCCTGTCTCAGAGGCTGATCTATTTTCATATTTTAGAGCCCTGACTGCGACCAGGCTTATGACACAAACCATGTTCCAAGGGAGGCACGGGAAGGCTGCTTGCCTGCAGAAGAGCATGGTGGACCCCACTAGCCGGGTAGCAAGGGAGTCTGACTGTTCACCTCCTTCAAAGCATTGCAGCGCTTCTTGCCTGCATGTGCGTTTGAGTGATGCTCACTCCCTGAATTGAGCTTCCACTCCTTAAACAACTCAGCTTTCTTTTTGTGACAGGGGAACCAGCGTTTGTTGCCGGCAACAACGCTGGAGGCCTGCAGGATCTCACAACGAGTAAGGAGCCTTTTCCCTCCTGGGTGGATCACATCTCTGCCCAGCTCAGTCATGTGCTTTCCAAAAGTTAATTGTATTTGTTCCCAATCTTGTTCATGCGAGCTATACCTTGTAATTATATAATTTAATTCAGTCTTACCAAATCAAACAATTATAAGTACGAAGAGAGTTGTAATCATTATGATGATAAGTTGTGTGTTTGGGGAAAAAGTGATAAAGAGACTTTTATTGTTTTGTTTTGTTTTAATGAAAGTGCTGTGGAATTGGGTATAGTTGAAACAACTGTGAAAATTTAGGTGGAGGAGGGGCATACCAAAAGATGGAGCAATTTGCTCTCATTTTGCTCCACACACATGTGACCTCGCTACAATGAAGGTGAAGCTGGTAATGCTCCTTGCTGCATTAACAGATGGCGTAGGCTCAGGTCTGAACTCAAAAAAAATGAAGAAAGAGAAAAAAGGATTTTATTTAGTCTAACACTAAGAGAACGATGAGTAAATAGATCTGCTTATGTTTTTAATTAAAAATAAATTTCTGATGATTTTTTTTTACTTTTTTTATTTAAAGAAAAAAAAGTAAGAAATCACTAGTTGATAAATTACATATTGTGTTCTTAGAAATAGTTGTTCAAGTTACAAAAGTAAAGCATACAAAGTGGACATTCAAACAGCGACACTACAAACAGTTCTGTTCAATGATCCAACAAAAACTTAATAATATGGTTATCAATCCTACACACTTAAACATGCATGCAGTTATATCCTTTAGAGCACTTTTTTTTCCTCTCTTTTTTACAATAGCAATTACACATTACTCCTACTTCGATGATGTATATTATTTCTTGAATCCCCATGTTTAAAAGTTGACTTTTCTCTCTAACTAAGTGGCATGGTTGGGATCCAAAATGCCCCCCAAAGAGGCTCATTGTATTGAAGACCTGATTATTTAGGGGAAAGTGATTAAATAATGAAGGCTCTAATTTCTTACATCTGTGGATTAATTCACTGATGAGATCATAAACTGATGGGATTACTGAGAAGTGATGAAAACAGGAAGGGCGCCTAGCTGAAGGATGTGACCGTGACCGTGACCTTGAGACTGTGTCTAGTCCCTGGCCTCTTCCCCCAGTTTTTCTTTCTCTCTGCTTCCTGGCCGCCATGAAATGAGCAGCTTCCCCTCCCAGGTTCTTTATGCCAGGCTACAGACCTAGAAGCCTGAAACCTCTGAAACCATGAGCCAAAAATAAAGCTTTTTCGAAGTTGCTGTTCTAAAAAAAATAAAAACAAACAAACAAACAAACAAACAAAAAAACCAGTTGTTCTCAGGCGTTTAATCACAGAGGTAAAAGCTAACAAGTAGAGGGATTCCAGATTCTGGCTGTGGAAGGAAGCAGGGAGTCCACGGTATAGCTCCATGGCCGCCAAACAGAACAGGCAAATGAATCGCTCTGGCCTCAACACTTCTGTGATTCAGGGCCTGGCCAAGATCCCTGATTGCCTGTATCAAGGGTGCAGAGAGAGGATAAACTAAGAAACAGACAAATGTAGTAATACATGATGAGTGATTGGGAAGTTGATGTCTCCAGATGGACCAGAGAACAGCACTCCAAGACAGCCACTATCTATTGGGTGTGTACAGTGATAGGCGAGGTAGCACAAGATTCAAAGTTCGTGGAAGACTTGGAGGTCTATGCTCAATGGGCAAATATAATCTTGGAAAGACTCAAAAGGGCAGAGATGATCTTATGCCAAGAAAGAGCTTGCCCTGGAGTGTTTTTTGAACTTAGTGATTTTGATTGTAGTCTTAGTGGTGGGAGAGAATGGCCCATCCCTAAACAGTTAATGGGAAATCTCAAATGGGTGATATCAATAATGCCAAGCCTCCATTTATCCCTTAGGGAAGTATGCAAAATTAGCCATGATGAATTTTTGCTCCCCAACACTCTGGGACTTACATATACTTTTGAAAGAATAATTGCATTTTCATGGTGATTACATTTAGAGCTCCTTATCTCTGAAGTTGATAAGCTTGGTTTTAATAGGACAAACTTTGAGAACTTAGTCACTTTTAATGTGTGTAGGCCTAATGGTTGACAGAATAGTTTCAGGTTTTTCAGCTAATCCTGTAAGTATGCCTAAGAAAAATATTCTTTTTATTAAGGCTGACTGGCACAGTTTATAGGTGTGTGACGTATATTGCTTAAAGACCATGCTTTAAGCCAAGTGTGGTGGTACATGCCTGTCTCCCAGCAGTGAAGGAAATTGAGGCAGGAAGATCCAAGTTTGAGTCCAGCCTGGATATTAGCAAGACTCTGATTCAGGGGGAAAAAAATCAGACAGGATATAGCTCAATGGTATAGAGCCCCTGTCTCAATCCTGAGTATAGCACTGTAAAAATAGCAACAGAAAAGACTGACTTAGGGTTTGCCCCTAGCCAACAGATCTTTGCTTTCATGTTAAACTTTGTAATCAGAAGAACCTACGTCTGACCCCAGAGGGACATCTTTGTATTTAACTTTATCATGCAATAAAAAGTAGAACACATTAATTAAATGTAAGATTATTAGATTTTTGACTGAGGATGTATCAGGGTACTCTGAAGATACAGTGAAGGTTTAAATTTTTGAAAAGTATTACAATGAGACACATTTCCATGAATCCTCCCTCAGAATACTCCCATGTGCTTCAAACACACCTATCACTGTTAGAAGCATCAAGGACTCACGCCAATCTGTTTTATGGATCTACACTGGGAAAGGTCATTGGTGGAAGCTATAAAGTCTACACCAGTGGGGTGAAGGATCTGTGCCAGTAGGTTGAGGTTTCTACACTGGAGCCAAGAAATGACACTCAAAAAAGAACCAGGGCTACCCTAAAAAGTACCACAGCCATCCTCAGCGACAGTGAGATCCCAAGCTTCTCCAATGATGAGAACAATCGAGTACATGTCAGGAAGCCAGCGTGACAAGTGAGATTAAACAGCAAACATCTTTCCTTCTGGAATAAGGAAGAATGCTCCATAAAGTAAGGATCAGAGCTCTCCCAAAATGAACTGCAGCCATTCTGAGCAACAATGTCCTGAGCTTCTCCAGTGATAACAGCCAAATTTGTACTGGGGAAGCCAGTATGACAAGCTCCTCCAGAGAACCAACTGCTCCAAACACTTAGAAGAACCTACAACACCCCACTCTTCCTCTAGAAGGACAGCTTTTCTTAGATAAGCCATCTATACTCAGCACCATGCTAATTTAATTTAGCTGGTGTTAAGATGAACACCAATTTTTAATCCATAACACACCCTCAAAAACTAAGGAGGCTGGGCTTGTGGCTCAGTGGGAAACCACTAGCCTATCATGCACTAAGCCTGAGTTTGCTCCCCAGTACTGTAAAGGCACACACAAACACACACACACGAAAAAGCTAAGAATGGCAACTTTAAAATTTTCAACAAGGGAAAAATTGACTAACATGTTCTTTATTTTTCTTTATTTTTGAGGCGAGATCTTGCTGTTACCTAGGCTGGTCTGGATCCCCCTGGGTCAACCTCCCGAGTAGATGGCAACTATTGGCATGCATCACCATGTCAGGTGAATAATGCATTCTTTATATATTTGTGATACATAATGGTGATATTTATTATATATTATATATATTTATTATATATATATTTATTATATATATGTTCATCATTTTCCCTCTACTATCTCCTCCTGATTAATATGATCTTAATATTTACTTCCATTTACAGTTCTTTCTCAGTGTTAATTACTTGTTAAGTCATGCATTTTGCCTTGATGCAATTTTTCCCTAGGCAAGGCTTTTTGGGTCCTGAGGTAAAAATACTACCTCCCATTAGCT